AGCCAGATCTTTTGACACCAAATGCATTTTCAAGTCAGGTCAGGTCACTGACCTATGACGTCATAAGTGAACCTCTGCACGGTCTTAAGGTGTCGCAACTTCGCAACGCCCTCACTGCCAGAGGAGCTTTCACAGGGAAATGAAACGTGCAGGATCTAGTATCCATTACGAGGCTCACAACTTGTATATCTCGGATTTTTTCCTCAAAGTCATATGAGGTCAGGTCATTTTCGTGACCTCACCATTATAAGTCAAGGGGGAAAAATGAAAACTGCTATTCTGGCGCCAGGAACGATATCCAACTATCTCAAGCACACAGAATCGTGATTTGATGCACTCCTTGCAAGGTTAGATGCGTCACTTTTGCAATACTGACCTTGTGTGACGTCATTTATGACATCATTAGGGTCATATTAGTTTTTCGTCAATAACTCCCGATCAAATTGAGCTAGCGAGTCGGGAAAGCCACAAATGGACTCAGGAAGACCTGCCAAATCGAATAATATGCGATATGACCTCCTTTGACCAGCTTCGTGACCTGGGGGCGCTGATCTGTCCGTGACCTTAGGTCAACACCCTAAGCTAGCCTCACCTAAACAAAAAGTATATCATTCGACGCGTCTAAGCGAGTCGAACACGATGCTGCTAGATTTGCGGCTCTGCGGCCGTTTTTTGTGAAATTATTAACCAAAAACGGAACCGGACCTTGGTACTTGACCTGACCTCAGAGGCCACCGGTTGACCTGGGACCTTAAAATCGGGTATCAATCTTTGCGTCTCGTAACGGCGCACACGCTCGTTTTTCCCGCAACGCGCTAGCTCCACCAGGCGCGAAACGGCGAGGGGGGAGGGCGAGGGGCGTGCAAAATGAATAACTACAGATATAATGCATCAGCATCGTGATCTTCACCCAAATGACTTGCTTCACGAATAGGACCTCCTAATTCCGCCCCGCCTCTCGGCCGGCGCGTATGTAGAAAACCAATATGTCCGGCGAGGGTTAAGTCAAAAGTTATATCAGAAAACGTTCTTCATTAACCCTCGCATGTGTAGGGGGGGGGGGTCGGATGGACCCCCCCCCATGGTTTTTCACGAATAACTCGCGTAAAAAGCGGCCGATCGCGACGAAACCTTAAGTACCCTCGCATTGATCAATTTTACACCTACCTGAAAATTTCATGACCCTGACCCAAATGACCTTTGACCTGTGACCTCTTTTCCGAGACCATGTTTGGCCGGAATCGCGATTTCGCGTATGTCGGCTCGCACTAGCCGCGTGTTTGCAAGCTTTTCGTGGTTTCAAACGTTCAAACATGTGATTTGATGTTACTCCCGTGTGTGTCAAGGTCACCTGAAGGTCAGGTCAGGTCTTTGACCTTTGGTGACCTCGGGTGACCTCGGGTCACTTTTCCGAGTTTTACATGTTTCTAGGCTAGTTTTTGGAGCTGAATTCGAATTTAGCAACCATTTGAACATTTACGAAGTAGTTTTGGTGACTTCGTAACATGTTACGAAGCTGTCAGAGGCGGTTGACACGTACTACGAATACCCGTCACGACGCCTACTGGTTGACCTGACCTGACCTGACCCGACCTGGTCTAAATGCTTCAAGACATCATCTGTGATAAAAACTAACACGATATTCGTGATCAGCACCCCGAAAAACCCCTTAGCAGCCACACTTTACGACTTTCTAACAGGTCCCGATTTTCCCGACTTTGGGTCATTGACCTGACCTGGAAGGTCAACCAATGACCTAGGACCTTAAAATTGGGTATCATCGGCTTCCTCTCGTCACGGGCAACACGCTCGTTTTTTCCGCGAAGCTCTAGCTCGATCAGGGGCCAAACGGCAAGGGGGGGTCTAACCGACCCCCCCCCCTACACATTAGAAGCTGGCAAACGCCGCACACATGCGAGGGTTAACCTTTTTTAGTTTTGCCCTCTGTAGGCTAAACCGTTGACCTGAGGTCAAACTGAGAACAATATTCAGGAAGACATTTAAAATGGCTATATCGAATGCGCTTAACCGCGACGCTCTGCCTCTATTGGTTCTCGAGTTAGACAATGGCAGTTTCCAAGTTTCCAATTTTCCAATTGTTGAAATGGACTAAATAGACCTTTGATATCTCTGGCGACGTGACCTTTGACCTGACCAAAATATGACCGAGGTGTTTTCGTCATTTATTGACGCTCTTTCGAATGCCGTTTACCGCATATCGCTACGTGGCCCAGGAGCTTAGCTACACCGGGGGGAGGGGCGTTTCGCCCCCCTAAGATCTCGGAAAATTACCGGCCGAATTTCAAAATTCAAACGGTGGTGGATAGCCCTACCACGGAACTACCTTGTGACTCGATGTCATTGACCTCAGTCCAACCGATGACGTCAAAGGTCAGGTCAAATGTCGAATTTTCACCGTTTACAGACATTTCGAGAAATGTGTTGTAAAATCGATTGAAAGGCATTCTATTGCAAGTTATCGATGGAAAAAATTGCCCGTAAAAGACATATTTTGCTAGTTGAGGTCATTGATACTAGGTCAGGTCAAAGAGGTTAGGTCACTGAGGGTCACAATACGAAAGTGTCGTGTGATACATGTTCTATGGTCCATTTTACATGACAAATGAGATTTAATGGGTCAGGCAACCTTTGGGGCCAGTTAAATTTATTTTCTGGTGAAGGTCAGGTCAAGGTCAGGTCAAGTTAGGTCAAATTTTAAAGTTGATATTTTTGCATAAAATGGGCATCGATTCGATGCAGCTCGTCACGGGGAGTCTAATGGTGGTCTTTGTTTTGCGCTACGTGGTCTAGAATTGTTAACCCGCGACCTGGTGGGGGGATATTTTTTGCCCCCCCCCCCCTCCAGACTTTTCCATATATCTCCAGAACCGCTGCGCCGATCGTCACCAAACTTTCAGTACCCTCCCGGACATCAATTTTACACATTGTGACCAAAAATTTTTCCAAAGGCTATGATAGGTTGGCCGGAAATGACGTCAGAGTGACGTCATGTTCTGCCGTTTTCGACCCAAAAAAGGTTTTCGCGGGAAGAGCTGTCAGGCCTATAGCTTTGCAAATACAGAAAAATGATAGAGACATAAAAGCTGTAGATTGGACAGGGCTACAAAACTGCTATCTCAGATTTTTGAAATTTTCGGATTTTGACACCAAAAATAAAAAATAGATTTTTTTGGATATAATAATCGAAAAATCCAAAAAGTTTTTGAATTTCGCAAAAACCGGAATATATGTGATAGTCCTTACCACCTTCCATCCACATACAAAATTTGCGATTGATACCTCTTTTTGGGCGAAGTTATAGCGAAAAAACTGTTCAAAATTGATGACGTCAAATTTTCAAACTCAATTTTTAGCAATTCTAGACCCCGTAGCGCAAAAAAAGACCACCATTAGACTCCCCGTGACGAGCTGCGTCGAATCAATACCCATTTTAAGCAAACAATCAACTTTAAAATTTGACCTTTTTTGACCTGACCTTGGTACCTGACCTTCACCAGAAAGTGACCTAAGCCGTACCTGATGGTCTTATAACCAACACCATTGAGTTGGAAATGAAAAGTTGGCCATAAAACATGCATCGCACAACCTTAGTAAAGTTGGGTTCATGTGCTGACCCTTGGTGACCTGACCTGTGACCTGACCTCGTATTGTCAGTGACCTCTAATAGCAACATATCTACTAGGCAACTGACGCCCTACCGCTGATTCTCGACAAAATGCGTTTTCCTCGGTGTTATAGCGCATTCCTTAGAAGACCCGTGAACGGTGAAACATTTCATCTTTGACCTGACCTGTGACGTCATCGGTGACCCCGAGGTCAATGAAATTTGGTTTCCTTCGACAAATTTGACAGGCCTTTCGAACGCCGTTTGAATTTTGCGGATCCGTCCGGTAGTTTCGGAGATACGAGGGGGGGGGGGGCAAAAAATAGCCCCCCCACCAGGTCGCGTTATAAACAGACCCCACCAGGGCGCGGGTTAAAAAATGAGATTGAAAATTTGACGTCATCAATTTTGAACAGTGTTTTCGCTATAACTTGGCCAAAAAAGAGGTATCAATCTCAAATTTGGTATGTAGATAGAACACGGACGTATAAATAAACGTTTATTTATACGTCCGTGAGATAGAAGGTGGGAGATACTATCATATATATTCCGTTTTTCGTAATTCGTAAAACTTTTGGGATTTTTTGTTTTTTAGCCAAAAATACCCTGTTTTGATTTTGGGGGTCAAAATAAGAAAAATAAAAATCCCAGATAGCAGTTTTGTAGCCCTGTTAATTTAACACCTTTTATGTTTTGAACATTTTTTCCCGTATCTTCAAAGCTGTAGGCTTGACAGCTCTTCCCGTGAAACCTTTTTCCGGGTCGAAAATGGCAGGACATGACGTCATTCTGACGTCATTTGCTGCCAACTTTTGATAGCCTCTGGAACAGATGACCTAGGGTGACCTTGACCCTGTCCCTGACCCTGACAACTGCACATCGTCTAACGTGTTCCATGATAGGTATGATAGGCTGTAAGACTAGCAAAAACGTACCGAAATCAAAGTGTCAAAAGCTCACAAGACCCATAGCCAAAGCAAAATGTTGAGTATTGGTCATTTGGGTCATGAGTTCATGACATGAACTAAAAAACAAGTTCATATCTCCGAAACCAGAAACCACAGAAATGAAGTTTCAGTGGACGCTGAGAAAGGATAGAGAAGCAGCTATACGAAAAATCAGACTTCTAGCTTAAAAAATGTTGAGTGCAGAGCAGAAAAAAACTACCTTTGGGGTAGGGCGGGGTTGGCGACCTCTTCCCAATGTGCGGGCGAGGGTTAATTTTAATCGGTGATATCTTTACCTTTTACCCCATATTTACATACTAAACAGCATATCGCACAAGACATCACAGGTCAAAATCGGCTCATTTTTTAACAGGATAAACGTTAAGCCGAAACATTACACTGATAACAGCAAATGTGAAAAAACTCACCTGCGTTATGCGAACCGTATATATTGCACCCTCCACAACGAATCCCAGAAGAGCCGCTAGGTCAGTGGCGATGTACGGAGTGACACAGTCGCAGGAAGTCAGCACGTATCGGTCGTTGAGAAGCACGCCGCCACACAGGAGACCAAACCCGTTCTTCGGTAATTGACCTCCTTTTGATGAGCGAAGTTCATCAAATAAATAAATCACAACCTGTGAAATAGCACAGATCGTCAGCAGGCATGGGCTCCGCCACCGGGGGGGGGGGGTGAGGAGGGAGGGACACGTGCCCTCCAGCCAAAATATTGGGGGACACTCTATATTTTGTCCTCCCTCCCCCAATAATCATCTCTAGGTTGGTAAATGAATTCTCCTTCTTGACATCAAAAACAGAACGTTGGGTCATACTTCATAGGTTTTCCGAAGGAGGAAATCAGAAAAGATGATCGTAACCTGTAGCCAGTTGTCAATGTTAACCCTCGCCCTGGCAGGGCATTTTTCATAACACGGCCTGGCAGGGAAAGGGGGGGGGGGGTCGATGCGACCCCCCTTCGCGATTGGCTCCTATGGCACCTAGAAACACCAAATTTGGTAGGTAGGTGAACCCCCAAAATTCTCGCCCCTGTGCAAATTTGGTTGCTCTAGGTCAATATTTAGGGGGGTTTTGGGGGGTATAGATGTAAAAATTTCGCTAAAAACAGGTCAAAAGTTTTTCGGTTATAACTCCTGATCTAATCAAGATAGAGCAAACAAAAAAGCACCAGTGAACTCAGCACGTCAAGGCGCGTCGAATGATGTACTTTTTAGCTTGCTTAAGTGTACTTAAAGTTTTTCTTAATTTTTAAGTAAACTTTAATTAATTAATTAAGTTCAACTTAACCAAATTGCATCATATCGCATATCATTCGATTTGGCTGATCATAAGCAACACAATGACACAATTTTTTGGGCTCTAGCGTCATTATGTGCCAAGTTATTGGCAAAAAATGTCATTTGACCTCCGTTGACCTCATTTGACCTGACTCATGGATAAGTACACCAAACAAAGAAGCACCAAATGACCTGCTGTTAAGTACTGTGGTTTCAAAGCACAAAAGTGATAGAACGAGGCGGATATCTCCAGTATTTTCCGAATTTAGTATTTTCCCATAGGCTAAACATTACGGCGTAATGACCTCTAACTGACCTCAGGTCAGTGACCTCAAAAACCCGAACTACATGTTATACAACTCGGTGAACTTAGCACATCCTGAAAGTTTGAAGGAAATCAGTCGAAAACTGTGAGTTGGACAGGTGCAAAGAGAAAATTGAAATTTGACCATGACCTTGTACCGGTTTTTCTGACCTGGTGACCTGACCCAAGGTCACTCGGACCTGAAATTTTTTAGGTAATATTTAAAAAGGTTGCCCCGTAGGCTGTGCCAAATTTGGCGGCGCTGCGCGCCGCCGTTTTTACGCTATCTTCGAAAAACCTTAGGGGGGGGGGGGGTCGCATCGACCTGCCAGGGCGAGGGTTAATAGGTGTTGTCGCTGTCCTGTGATTTTATTTCCTGCTATGGGTGTCACGATTTCAGTTTTCCTTTCGTAGCCCATATCGACAGCCGTTTTCTTTTATGTTATATCAGCGTGAGTCTACTGACCAATGCTCACAATCGCACGCACCATATACATACATAGGTATGTACAGGTCACCGCTGAAGTAATGAGCGCATATACTGCAATCGGACAAAACCTAGCACCAATCATTAACCCGCGCCCCGTAGGGCTACCGGCGGACCCTACCACCCGTAGGGGGGGGGCCGTTTCGGCCCCCCCTAAGATCTCGGAAAGTTACCGGCCGATTTTCAAAATTCAAACGGCGTTCGATAGCCCCACCCGGAAACTACCTTGTGACCAAATTTCATTGACCTAGGTCAAACCGATGACGTCACAGGTCAGGTCAAAGGTCATATTTTCACCGTTCACAGGCAATTCAAGAAATGTGCTGTGAAAGCGAGTAAATTGGTAATTTATTGAAAACCATCGATGGTACATTGTTCGTCAAACACATACTTTGCTATCTGAGGTCACTGATACCAGGTCAGGTCACAGCGAGGTCAGGTCACCGGGGGTCACAATATGAATATGTCGTGTGATACATGTTTTATGGTCCATTTTACATGACAAATGCGATTATGTGGGTTAGGCAGCCTTTGGGGCCAGCCTAGGTCACGTTTTTGTGAAGGTCAGGTCAAGGTCAGGTCAAATTAGGTCAAATTTCAAAGTTGATATTTTTGCATAAAATGGGTATCGATTCGATGCAGCTCGTCACGGGGAGTCTAATGGTGGTCTTCGTTTTGCTCTACGAGTTCTAGAATTGCCAAAAATTGAGTTTGAAAATTTGACGTCATCATTTTTGAACAGTTTTTTCGCTATAACTTGGCCAAAAAACGAGGTATCGATCTGAAATTTGGTATGTAGATAGAAGACAGTAGGCACTATCACATATATTCCGGTTTTTTCGAAACTCAAAAAACTTTTTGAATTTTTTGGCGAATATATCCAAAAAAATGCTTTTTTGATTTTTGGGGGTCAAAACTCAAAAATTTCAAAAATTCGAGATAGCAGTTTTGTAGCCCTGTCAATTCTACACCTTTTATGTCGTGATCATTTTTCTGTATCTTCAAAGCTGTAGTCCTGACAGGTCTTCTCGCGAAGGTCTTTTTTCGGTCGAAAATGACAGAACATGACGTCACTCTGACGTCATTTGTGGCCAACCTATCATAGCCTCTGGAAAAATTTTTGGTCACAATGTGTAAAATTGATGCCCGGAGGGGTCCTGAAAGTTTGGTGGCGATATCTCCAGCCGTTTAGGAGATATCGACCGAAAAGGACAGGGGGGGGCCGTTTCGGCCCCCCCCCCTACGGGGCGCGGGTTAATGGTGAGACCTATTATCAAAAGCGAGTATCGCACAGATTCGTGTTCCAGTTGGACAACTTTCTCTAACGTGTTACAGTTCCACCCGTTATAGAATGCTCGCTTAAATCGAAAACGGGAATATTCACTCCATTCGCGGCACCCCGGAGTCCAATCTCTGTGACCGCCACTGAACAGAGAGTTGTAAACCAACGCACGTGCGTACTACACCGTAGTAAAGTGCCGTTGCTGGACCCTACAGTAGAGTATAGCCATTGATGATCGGGACAACAGCATCGACCAATAGGGTCTCTTTCTCTGACAGGCGAGAAGCGCGAGGGTCAGAGGTGGGGAGGGGTTGACCGCGGGGCTTCTGGCCGGCGCAGTGGAAGGGGTGGGTGAAGGTAGGGTGACAGGGACGCCAGCCGCAGGGCATCAGCGAGCTTTGCCCCCAGGCGTGCGGGAGCGATATGTCTAATGTCATTGTGCGAAGCAGACGGCGCGGCGTGTCACGTGGGAGCTTTGAATGAATATATATTACTGACCGGGCCGACGAAATTATTTGGAAACGAGGTTTGCAAAATTGACGGAGGTCCGAGTGCGGAGCACGAGGGCCGGAGTCAAATTTTGCAAGCCGAGTTTCCAAATAATTTCGTACGGCTGAGGTCAGTAAGCTTTTTCCTACATGCCGCATACCTAAGTAGTTTCGACAGGTTTTGGTGACACTTTTATACAATTGTTTTGTCCATAATTTCCTAACAGTGATTGCGCTACTGCTGTGGATAAAGGAAATTTATAGAAGAAAAGGCATCAAAATACCTTACTTCAAAAAGAATCGCGTCTGAAAATATCAACTCAGAATGGCACAACAACTGGATATCCAAGGAACATGATACATGAATAATTTGCCAAGACATAAGAACAAGAAGAAGGTATAATATTCCTAGTAATTAAACGTGAACTTTCCAGTGCTCTTGCAAGAATCTTTTCTTTATTTATGTAATCGTACTTTGTTGATGCCCTATGGCTAAACGTTCGTGAAATACATTATATATTTTCCATATTTTACGTGTTTGTTTCGAGGAAAGGACTACAACTGTCAAATAATAACGCAATAACTTAGGCCCAAGGTATCAGTGGACATATCAAACAAAGATAAGACCAGTATAACGCCTTATGGGGCGACTAACGGAGCGAGCGAGAGGGTGGGCCTTGCACGTGCGAAATTGCGGGGGGGGGGGGGGGGTACCTCCAACTGACTTGTGTACGGCACCCTACTAACCGGTCTCTAGCGATTTGCCAAATTTGAGCACAATCGACCCAGCCGTTCTCGAGATCTGGAAGCGGCACCCTGCACGTGCGCACGTGCAAAATGGGTCCCGACTGGCTTTTGCACGGCACCCTACTAACCGGTCCCTAACTGTGTACCAAATTTGAGCGCAATCGGTCCAGCCGTTCTCGAGATCTGGAAACGACCCCTGCACGTGCGCACGTGCAGCAGCACCCCAACTCTGGCACATGGATATGCAGTGCCTAGTGGGTGCCTACCTACCTGCCAACTTTCAGCGCAATCGGCCAAGTAGTTACCGAGATATTGCAACAATTGCAAAACTGACACCTCTTCGTTTTGCACGTGGCACGTGCATAAGGGGTCACTCACATGCATCGGGAATAGTCCAATACTTGGTAGAAGGAATGAAGCTACCCTATAAAAATTACCGCGTGTAAATCGGTCAAGTGGTTGCTGAGATATAAGCCTCGCAAAAGCGTCCGCACGGCCGGCCGCTCATACTCAGAAATTTCCGTTATTCTACGTAAGACTCCGCTCGCTTCGCTCGCTCCGTAACAACAAGCGATAATGGATTTCTAGGCGCATATCTTACCATAATTTCGGCTTTTTAACCAATACAAAATATTTCAAAACCCTTGATAAGCAGAGCAGATAGGTATTTTTACCAAAAAATGTTAGTTTTCTAATTTTACGCGGCAAATATCATGCAAAAATGATGTCAGTTATACATTCCCTGCCAATTATACCTCTGGGCTAGTGCGATAAACTGTAGTTTAGAGGTCATTGCCCTGGGCAGTAAACCCAGGCAGTAAACTTTTGTTTCCTGCCCGGCCTATCAAACTAGATGCCGGCAGCGCTCGTGCGTTGCCTTGGGCCAGAATTGGAGGAATGGAACTGAGTATGGACTGCAAAACCAACTGAAACATCCATGAAATGCTTGAAAGCACGTGAGATTCATGTGGAGATCTACCTACAGTAAGATATGAATTAACTGCACGTGCATAGTTCATGTCCCAGGCACCACAGTGCAGGCATTTTCATAACATCCTGAAGCGTGTGTCTAGTTCTATCAGTGCACCGACTTTTGTGTCGCTAGCTCGACGTTTCCCGGGATCAGAGGATCCATCGTCAAAACCGTTATCCGCCCCCGCACGCGCAGCTTGCACCCCTCGGATATTATCTCGCCGGAATGTCGTGATCAAATGTATTCTTCTTATGACCTGCAAGTTTTGAACCAGTTAGAGCTGCCGTTTGCCCTGCAGGCGTGGCAACGTACGAAGGGGTGCAATCGGCTTGCACGTGCATAGCTCATGCACCACAGAGTTTAGCTCAACCAAATGTGCATTATTTTGGAGGCCTTGCCTGGGACTACCATTGAACCGATTTTGAGGTTGATAGCTTAAAATTTCTTTGAGCCAGAGGACCTCACGTCAAAACGGTTTTCCGACCCCAGCACGTGCAGCCTGCACCCCTCGCAGACGGTGACCCCCCTGGAAACTGGTTCAAGGTGTTACCGATGTGTCCCGCCAGTATGGCTTTGCCCGTGACCTCGGGTTGACCTGTAGCCTTGACAAAAAATTTCGTGTCACCGAAACTTTGAAGCGGAATAGCATGTGCCACGAAGCACCGAGCGAACCGAGGCCAGCACCAAAAGTTTACCTCGCCGGAGACGAATCACACGGTCCCACTTTCGTCCCGATTGGTCCACCCATTTTGACTCCAGGTCCAAAAAAGCTTGGACAAACTCACTCACATACTCACTGACAAACAGGTTCAGCCGAACTTTTTTTCAGCGACCCACCAATGGGAATTTCCGGATGCAAAAGCATGCTATCGCATGCTTTTGATCCTCCAATTCTGGATAACATGGTATTTTGATACCGACAGTTTCTTGGTCATAGTTTTACTGCCAGGCTCGTGCTGTGCTTAACCCTCGCATGTGTAGGGGGGGGGGGTCGGATGGACCCCCCCATGGTTTTTCGCGAATAACTCGCGTAAAAAGCGGCCGATCGCGACGAAACTTTCAGTACCCTCGCATTGATCAATTTTACACCTACCCTGAAAATTTCATGACCCTGACCCAAATGACCTTTGACCTGTGACCTCTTTTCCGAGACTATGTTTGGCCGGAATCGCGATTTCGCGTATGTCGGCTCGCACTAGCCGCGTGTTTGCAAGCTTTTCGTGGTTTCAAACGTTCAAACATGTGATTTGATGTTACTCCCGTGTGTGTCAAGGTCACCTGAAGGTCAGGTCAGGTCATTGACCTTTGGTGACCTCGGGTGACCTCGGGTCACTTTTTCGAGTTTTACATGTTTCTAGGCTAGTTTTTGGAGCTGAATTCGAATTTAGCAACCATTTGAACATTTACGAAGTAGTTTTGGTGACTTCGTAACATGTTACGAAGCTGTCAGAGGCGGTTGACACGTACTACGAATACCCGTCACGACGCCTACTGGTTGACCTGACCTGACCTGACCCGACCTGGTCTAAATGCTTCAAGACATCATCTGTGATAAAAACTAACACGATATTCGTGATCAGCACCCCGAAAAACCCCTTAGCAGCCACACTTTACGACTTTCTAACAGGTCCCGATTTTCCCGACTTTGGGTCATTGACCTGACCTGGAAGGTCAACCAATGACCTAGGACCTTAAAATTGGGTATCATCGGCTTCCTCTCGTCACGGGCAACACGCTCGTTTTTTCCGCGAAGCTCTAGCTCGATCAGGGGCCAAACGGCAAGGGGGGGGGGTCCAACCGACCCCCCCCTACACATTAGAAGCTGGCAAACGCCGCACACATGCGAGGGTTAAGACATACCCGGGCATGTAGGAAATGACTTTCAAGGCTTCAGTTTCGAAGATAAAAGAGATAAGTTCTTTGGAATTAGGAGATGCTGTCTCAGCTTTTCCATATACACAACAACTATTTTGATTACGAGCAAGCGAGCGCAGCGAGCGAAGCGAAGTCTTTTCAATATAACGGAAAAATCTCAGTATGAGCGGCCCGGCCCGGACCGGCCTGTAACGCTTTTGAGAGGCTTATATCTCAGCAACCGCTGGACCGATTGGCCTGCGGTCCTTTTTGCTGCGTAGCCCCATCCCTTCTACCCCGTAATTGACTACTTTTGATACATCTCAGTGACCGTCATGGCACGTGCAACGTGAAAAGTCAAGGGTGTTCAAGCTGTTTTGCAAAAGTACTGATTTTGAGAGGCTCATATCTCAGCAGCAGCTTGGGCGATTGACTTGCGGTAATTTTTATAGGGTAGCTGCATGCTTTCTACCAAAAATAGGATACTCTCGATACATGTGGGTCACCCCCAGTGCACGTGCAAAATGCAACAATAAGAGGTGTCAAATTTGTTCCCATTTTAATAACTCGGTAATTACTGGGGCGATTTCGCTGAAACTTGGCATACAGGCACCCACCAGGCAATGCATTCCCATGTGTTGCGGTTAAGGTGCTACTGCACGTGCGCACGTGCAGGGGGCGCTTCCAGATCTCGAGAACGGCTGGGCCGATTGCGCTCAATTTTGGTACACGGTTGGGAACCGATTAGTAGGGTGCCGTGCAAAAGTTAGTTTTGACCCCGTTTGCACGTGCGCACGTGCAGAATGCCGCTTCCAGATCTCAGGAACGGCTGGGCCGATTGCGTTCAAATTTGGTACACCGCTAGCGACCGGTTAGAAGGGTGCTTTGCGCAAGCCCGTTGGAAGTACCCTCTCGCCCTTCCGCACGTGCATGGCTCACTATCTCGCTCGCTCGTTCTTCGCCCAAAAGGCGTTTTACTGGTTTTGTTACTCCATTGATTACGAGCGAGCGAGCGCAGCGAGCGAAGCGAAGTCTTTTCAATATAACGGAAAAATCTCAGTATGAGCTGCCCGGCCCGGACCGGCCTGTAACGCTTTTGAGAGGCTTATATCTCAGCAACCGCTGGACCGAATGGCCTGCGGCCTTTTTTGCTGGGTAGCCCCATCCCTTCTACCCCGTAATTGACTACTTTTGATGCATCTCAGTGACCGCCGTGGCATGTGCCACGTGAAAAGTCAAGGGTGTTCAAGCTGTTTTGCAAAAGTAGTGATTTTGAGAGGCTCATATCTCAGCAGCAGCTTGGGCGATTGACTTGCGGTAATTTTTATAGGGTAGCTGCATCCTTTCTACCAAAAATAGGATACTCTCGATACATGTGGGTCACCCCCAGTGCACGTGCAAAATGCAACAATAAGAGGTGTCAAATTTGTTCCCATTTTAATAACTCGGTAATTACTGGGGCGATTTCGCTGAAACTTGGCATACATGTAGGCACCCACCAGGCAATGCATTCCCATGTGTTGCGGTTAGGGTGCTACTGCACGTGCGCACGTGCAGGGGGCGTTTCCAGATCTCGAGAACGGCTGGGCCGATTGCGCTCAAATTTGGTACACGGTTGGGGACCGGTTAGTAGGGTGCCGTGCAAAAGTCATTTTGGACCCCGTTTGCACGTGCGCACGTGCAGAATGCCGCTTCCAGATCTCAGGAACGGCTGGGCCGATTGCGTTCAAATTTGGCACACCGCTAGCGACCGGTTACAAGGGTGATTTAAGCCCGTTGGAAGTACCCTATCGCCCTTCCGCACGTGCAGGGCTCACTATCTCGCTCGCTCGTTCTTCGCCCAAAAGGCGTTTTACTGGTATTTCCATCACATTAGCCTATCAACATGTTTACAACGGCGTGTAATTTCGGAACACCTGTTTAGTCTAATTCTTTAAACTATTTGTGCATGGGCTTCAAATGTCCGGTCCGGCGAAAATTTTCGCTCAGTTTAGGGCCTCAGCAGTAGGGTCATGGCCTGCATCATAAGATGCACGCTGTAGCAAAATCCTACGCCAGCGGCAGGAGTAAAACTGCTGTATGACGGAGGCACCGGTGTCTGACAACTGGGTGGAAACAGTCTGGAGGCCGGTCAGGTCAGCTCGTATCGCTCACCCTTGACTCCGTCCATCGCCTCTGGCGGGTACGCAACAGGGCGCTCATTGGCTTATTGGTCTGCTCATTGAGCGCCAATCACAGTCAGCTCAGTGAGCGTGCCGCGTATGAAATCACAAGAAGCATGATACCGCTGTAGCATTTTTATAGGAAGGGGCCATCTGTGTAGACGACATGGCCAATAGGGTGTGTCGACAGAGGGGTTTTTCTCACAGATTCGCGTTAGACAAAGATATAAATTGGCGGGAGCATGCCAAAACACTAGCCCTGCAGTTGGTTTTGCGTAAAAATGCGATTTGACGAGGCTCGGGCAGGTCGAAGTTACAGCGAAAAAGTCGCAATCGACGGTGCTGCCACCTACATTGCCAATAACGGGCACTATCATATCGTTATAATTGGGGTAGTTTCAAATGAGAAATGACTTCTATTTTTGTTCA